TAGATATATTTTTTTTTTGGTAAGTCTACACCTATGATATGGTACAGGCATGAGTCCATATATTTCTCAGTTTACTGGGAAACAGCTGTGGTACCATAGTAAAGTCTTATACTTTGCCATTCATTCATTCATTCATTCACTCACTCACCTGATATATATTTATTGAGCATTTACTATTTGTTCTAAACATTGAGGACACAGGAGTTAATAAGATAGAAAATGGCCTGACTTCATGGAGCTAATGCAGAGGAGGCCAAGAACAAACCCATGCAAATAAGTAAATATGACAATTCCAGAGGGTGATAAACTCTTTGAAGGAAAGACAGGGTGGGGTGGTCAGCTCAGACGACATCTGGCTGACAAGAAGGAGCCTGTGCCTGTGTAGGGGTAGGCAGGAGAATGGGTGAGAAAAAGGCCCTAGGTTAGAGCAAGTTTGACAAATTTGGGAGAAAGAACTCTAGTGGGGATTGAGAACAATAATATCTATTGTGGTAAAGACTTCGTAGGATGATAATTGCAAGAGAACATGATGAACTGCAAAGCAACACCATTGAAAAGTATTATTTGGCTGTGCTACAATATTGTATTATCACATAAAAAAACATCATTCTGCTTTTAGAAATGGTTAAGGTGAGAACTGTGTGTTTCAGTTTTCATCTTCTACTCAAATGAAAAGAACCAGGCTCTCGAGAAGCCCTTTAAAGGGTGGCATCACCATCACGCCAAATACGGAGCTCACATACCTGGAATCCTATTGAGCGTCACCCAGAAATGCTCATCAGGACTGAAAGTGTCCTTGGACCACTGGAGCAGATCAACAGCCCGTGGGTCACGGAGAACAAAGTTGGAAAATTCTCTTGACAGAGCAACATAGGCAGAGCCGAAGTAAATGGTGAGGTTATGGGGAGGGGGCGGCTTCAGAGCTGCGGTTCTTATCACATAGGAAAGCTCTTTGCCCAGATGCTCTCGGTGGACATATTTAGTCCGTCCAATAGCATGAGCCGGAGGCAGCACCCCCGGGGTAATGTTTTTCCCTTTGAAGCCTTTCAGATACTGAACTATTTCCTTGTTGGTTTTCAGGGGGAAGTCTTGCCCACAGGTGTTGATGGCGTACTTCCAGGGGACCTCGGAGGCCACCAGGTCTCTCAGGCAGTTCAGGTCCGCCTGGAGCCTGGAGATCCCACCATAGACAACCGGCTCCATCTTGGAAGCCAGAAAGGCGTTTGGGAAGCAGCTCAGCAGTTGCTCCACCGCATCTTTAAATTCAGCTGTTGCCTTTTCGTCCACATGGACGCAGTAGACATTTTGGGGCATGTAAATAGCTCTGAAGAGCCTTACAAAGGTATCAAAGTTGTGATGGATGACCATTATGTATGCCAAAGGGAACCCAGCCTCTTCTTCGGATAACGGGGCCGTGATGTAGCGGCTCTGGGTCAGATATTCTCTGCAGGAAGACTTCTGATATATCATCAGTTTGTCTCGCCACAGGAAAGGTGTTTTGCCTTTGATAAAGGATGCGCAAACTTGAGTCAGCATCAGAGTGTCCGAATTATTCAGCCTCTGGAAGCCTTGCTCTCCCCCAAATATGAACACATAGAACACGATAAAAATTATGACACAAGAGACAGAAACTATAAAAAGGTAACGCATCGATGAAGACATGCCTCACAGAAGAGCAAGATTTCAAAGACGGTGGAAATCTGTAAGTCTTTTCCCAAACTTACTTTTTCCTCTGAGTTCTTATTTTGGTACATGCTCCAGCCATTTCTACCCTGAAGGAGACGCTGGGAATTTATTCAGTTTCATGCCGGGAGTCCAGCTGCAGGCTCCGTCCCCATGCTGACATTAGCAACTGAACCCGCCTGGTTCTCTGCCTCTCTCAAAACGCCTTTGTCTAAATCCCAGCAGCAGGTTCTCAAGCCCAGCCTTGCTCCCTCCCGCTGCTTCCGGGCTGGCATCTGCGAGCTGTTTCACTAAAACTCTGCTAACTGCTTTCCCCTGCAGATTTAGTTTCTCAGATCTCTTTTCTTTCATTTCCCATTCCCCCGCCTCTCCTTCTCTCCCCGCCCCTTGTTATTGCCATTCAGGGAATTAGCACAGTGAAAGCCAAAGTTGAAATGATGTGTTCTGGCAGGCATGCGTTTCCTGCTAGTCATCCGACTGGCTGCGGCACTCACCCCTCTCGCCGCTCAGGGCAGTGATCCATCCATAACCCGGTCCCTCGGCTCTCCCAGTGTGATCCACGGGGTATAATGTAGCCTCCACTCTCAACTATGCTGCTTCAATGAAAACAAATAACTGAGGTGACAAGGAAAATAAAGCTCATCCATCCTGGCTCCTCCATAAAGCTTTCCTGCCCCGCCCTACCGTGTTCAGCTCCAGTCCTGGGGGATCTGAATGGCAGGGATCCTGGCCCTGTGACTTTGAGATCAGGTGACAGCGCCTCTTCTCCCCCTTCCAGCATCCACCGTGGGGCCTGTCACAGAATGTCGGGGTCACAGGAACAAGTTTCGAGCTTCATACCCTGATTTAGATGAGACCTTAAAGCTTTACTTGAATCCTGGCCACAAGTAACAGTTCAGATTAGGGAACCTTGGGGCTATTCCGGTTTTAACCACCCAAAGAGCATCATCAGACACTGTTCCTGCCCAGTTAAGTTTCTCAACCACCTAGTCCTAGGAGATGAATGTTGGTTTCCCTATTTGCAAATAATAGTGTTTTGGCTAAGGAGTACCAAGCTCTTCCACTTACAGGGGTTCTCAACCTGTGGGTCGCGACCCCTTTGGTGGTCGAACGACCCTTTCACAGGGGTCGCCTAAGACCATCCTGCATATCAGATTCATAACCGTAGCAACATTACAGTTATGAAGTAGCAACGAAAATAATTTTATGGTTGGGTCACAACATGAGGAACTGTATTGAAAGGGCCAGAAGGTTCAGAACCACTGAAAAAGGTTCTTTTCTTCCACAGTTCCCTCTTGCACCAGTGCTTTTTAAATGTAGATTCATATATTTTACTTAAAATTACTCTGAAGCACCAGTTCAACTACTAAATGCCTTCCCATTGTTCCTCATTGTTTATCTGAACTAAATGCCTCAGTGCCTCCACCCTCGTCTCACAATGGAGACTGAGCCCCACCCCACCCCTTGAAGAAATCCTGTCCTTTAATGCACACTCTCTCCTTCCTTTTGACAAGTCTCTACCCTGCTGTCAAAGAACTAGAACAATACAGGTGTGGGGGTTGCCTGCTTTCAGTCAGCACCCACCCCCGCTGAACGGCACAGGGCTCCCTGAGCACACCGTCTGTTTCCTTCTTCTCACTGTCGTTGCTCCCATTGCGCATTCTCCCCGCTTGGCCATTCTTTCCTCTCTGCCTTTCCTCTCCTCCTTCTTTAAGACCCATCATAAATACACTCACGTAGCCTCCACCATTGGATTTGTAGGCAAAGTGGGAAAAGAAAATGCAGCCATTATGTGGGTAAAGCAGATCAATCTCATCCTTAGTGTTTCTAAGGAGTAAAGCCAAGAAAACAACTGAAAGTTCAGGATAACAGAAAATGCAATCCCAAGCTTCTCTTTTTCTAAATAATTCCCTTTAAATATTAGGTTATTGTATGTTCTATTTCAAAACAACAGAGAGTAATTTCAGTATCTAGTTTGGCAAAGCCTGTTGACTTAGAATGAGTGTTAAAATATTTATAGTTTGCCCTAGTCGCTTTGGCTCAATGGTTAGAGTGTTGGCCTGCGGACTGAAGGGTCCCGGGTTCTATTCCAGTCAAGGGCACACCTCAGTCTGGGCATGTGCAGGAGGCAACCAATTGATGTGTCTCTCTCTCCCTCCCTCCCTTCCACTCTCTCTAAAAGTCAATGGCAAAATATCCTCTGGTGAGTATTAACAGAAGAGAAAAATATATATTTGCAATTTGACCAAGTGCTCAGTATACAGATACATAAGTTTATTAGGCCAACGTGGCTGTTTACATGATTATTTCCAACAAGGGTTCAATATACACAGGCATTAACAATGTTTCTATAGTAGATACATAAGTTTATTAGGCCAACGGGGCTGTTTACATGATTATTTCCAACTGGCCAATAATACAGGGGTTCAATATACACAGGCATTAACAATGTTTCTATAGTAAGAAATGTAGACACTGGACAAATTAAGAACTTTCATGATACTTCTGTATTCAGTCCATTACTTCAAGTGCATTGTTTGTGTGCTGAAAATATACCTGTTTTTCCTCTCTGCCCTTTCAGCTGTCCTTGGGCCAACTTTCCCCACCCTCAGGTTCTGTTCTTAAGAAATCCCTATGGGAGAACTTTTTAAAAAACCTGTTGCTGCAAAGAGCAAGGCTGTTACCTTTCCTTCCTCATAGGCATCTGGTCTGCTTATCTGAAATAGACCCTATGCAATTTTTTTGCTACTGGGACTGAGCAACTCGGCCTCCCAACCTGCCTTTAGCTGCAGGCAAGCACAGGGTTGACTCTCACAGCTCTGACAACTGCACCTGTCCCTCCTCTGTAAGCACCTATTCCTGGACTAGCTAATTATTCTGGCTAGACATGTTTACTGCCCCCCCACCCCCGTCCCCCAGGGCTACTCTTCATTCCATTTAGAAGTCTTTACTTTTTGTGCACTTTAAAGACCTTTTCCCAGTTGTGATACTATCTAGAACACGGTTCCAAAATGAAGAGGGTGTCCTTTCTTTGAAATGATGGGAGACTCAGATCCCAGTGAAATAAAGAGATAATCAAAGGGGAGAAAGAGAGTTCTCCGACACTGGGCCCTCCAGGCTTGTGTGTGAAGGGGCAGGGAGCACGTGCCTGGTGCTGCGAGCCCTAGAGGAGGAGGTGGGGGAGCTGCACGGCTAGTGTGCTGCCTGCCAGGCTGTCAGGCCTGTGAGGGAAGCGTCAGGCGGTGGTGGAAGACCTTGTGTTGTGCTGAGAACTTGGATTTCATCCTGCTGCCAAAGGAGCACCAGCAAAGGCTTTGGGTGGAGGGCTGCTCCCCGGGAACATGTGCCAAGTGGAGGAGGAACAGTAGCAGAAGAAACCATGGTGGGAAAGTACACGGCAGCCCATATATATGCATAATGCACACATTAATAATAATGAAAATATTAGATGTAAGTAAAGCCTCTGAAACTGTGAGGTAAAGGTGCTACCTACTCCTTAATTAATAGTGTGTCCTAGAAACAATTCCAAGGCTCTAACAAGGCTTTTAGGCCTGTAGATATTCACAGAACATCAGATACTGCATATTGGTTGAGGTTTCTCTTAAATAAACGAAGATAGGGGAAAGATTTAAAGTCCCAGGGACATTATGGAATTCATGATTGGGAATTAGAGGAAAGTCTAGACTTATTTTTCCAACCCCTCAACTTTGTAATGTAGAAGTATGTACATTACCATATTTATACTATTTATTTACCCATTTATATGTGTTGAATGAATGAATGAATGAATAAATGAATGGAGTCCACAACCCCCATGGTTCCAGGTGCCCCTGGGTAAAAGGGCCTCAATTAGAATTGGGAACAGAGCAACTGGTATCTCTACTTTTGACAAACAATAACTCTGAACAGGCTAACCTGATAGATTAAATGACCAAAGACACACAACTTTTAATCAAATTTCTGGGGGAAACCATGAAAAATGTGTTTCTTCTTGTGTGTCAAGAAAGGGTTGTCCACTAACTCCCACAATAATACTCACAGGGCCTGGTGCAAGTCACTATCCACCTTTCACTGGTTATGTGACCTTAGATCCTGCTTGCTTTGCCTTAAATAGGATGTTCTCTGAGGTGCCTTCCAGCTTACGTGAGCTGTGTAACTCGGTATGTGTGAGGTGAGTTTGCTAAGCACAGTGATGGAATTCAAGTGTGAGTACGGCCCCTGTCCTGTAGGCCTCAAAATACCTACAACAGAAAATATAACCAACTAAACAGGAAAGACTATGGGTAAGTTCCAAACCCGAAGTTATCTACTAAATGTCATGGGAGGTCAGAGGACAAAGATGGTTAGAAATGGAGCTTGACTGGTTAGAAAGGGCTTCGCTGGTTAGATTCAGACACGTAGAGCGTGCAGGAGGCTGTTCAGTTGGAGAAATCATAAGAGAGCAAGAACACAGAAACAGGAAAGCAAAGCAGAGAACCTTCCTGGGAAGAACTGTTGAATCGGAGCTTCTCGATTCACATGGCACCAGAGAAAACCATTCAAGTCAGTAAGCCATTATCTCAAAGTGCCAGGCAGGGTGAGGGTGAGCTCCAGGAGTGCCGGGCTTGGGCCTCCTGTTCCTATGACAGCCCCGCAACTCGACGGGGCCTGTGTTCAACGCGTGTTGAATGGGTCCAGAGTCATCTGGGCATTGGAAAGTGCAATTTTCAACTACAAAGAAAAGGAGTGTTGAAACCCATGTTTACATAAGCTTTCAATTTATATATTAGAATATCATGGTCTAAGGCCTCCGTGATTTTTTTTTCTTTAAGCCAATTTCTAGTTATGCGGAAGTATAGTTTGACTGTACCTGTAGGCTTTTTCATCTCTTCCCTTTCAGGGTCCGCCTACAGAGACCTAACTATAAACACACATGAGCACTGACCTCTATTCGCACCTTCTTGTGCATCTTACCTTTGTTTAATTGCATGTACTAATTCAAACTTCATTATTCTTTCATAATTGTTCTGGGACTTGTTTTTCCATTCTCAATTAACTGCTATTCTTTAGTTGGGAAAGAAATGGAGGGAACACAGGCTTGAGCAGAAACACTGGATTTATAATGTTAAATAACAGCAAAAAGGTCACTTGAAGGACTGGCTCTGATAAAGTTTGTTGAAGTAGCATCGAGAGGTTAAGTAATATTTGCAGAAAGGTTAGGTAAGTGAGGTGAGATTGTATCAATTCTTGGGCTCACTGGTGGCTGTTCCTTGAAAAACCATTTCTGTGTGGTTTGCTTTGTGATTATAGCATGTCAAGTGACTCTGGGAGTCATGCTTAATTATAAAATATCAGGATTAATTTTCCCCCTTGAGC